GAATAGAATAGAATAGAATAGAATAGAATAGAATAGAATAGAATAGAATAGAATAGAATAGAATAGAAGGATATAGGAATAGAATTTAAATAGAATGGGATGGAATGGGATAGAGAGTAGAATAGAATATAGAATATAGAATATAGAATATAGAATAGAATAGAATAGAATAGAATAGAATAGAATGGAATGGAATGGAATGGAATGGAATGGAATGGAATGGAATGGAAGGGAAGGGAAGGGACGGAACGGAACGGAACAGAATTCTTTATTAGCCAAGGGTGATTGGGCACACAAGGAATTTGTCTTGGTGCATATGCTCTCAGTACCTGAAGAAGGCCTTTGTAGCATTCCCATGATCATGTGTTCAAAATTCAGATGCTTGGCAATTGACTCATACTTATGACCATTGCTGGGATCCCCTTTTTCAACCTTTGGACAAGCAAAATCAATGGAGAAACTAGATTCACTTAACGACCATGTTACTAACTTACCAGCTGAGGTGATTCACCGAACCCCTGTGGCCAGAAAGTTCACAAAAATGGGGCAAAGCTCGCTCAACAAATGTCTCACTTAACAGCAGACCATTTGGGCTGCATTGTGGTCGTAAGTCGAGGACTACCTGTATTCAGGGGTCCCTGAGGGCACCAGGAAATCTCCCAGTGGCCTCAACGGCTCTCAGAGAGAGTGATAACGACCAGATGACCGCAAGGAATACAAATCCTTCCATTCTCCACCATTCAGCCTGTTCTGACGCAGGCTTCGTCAAACGTACTGAAACACGAAGCTTGTTTGAAAAGTAAAATCTATTTTAATGCAACGCCGGGGGTTACTTTCATTTTCCAGCCAGAACTAATCTTAAAAACAGTTCCCCAAGATAAGCCCACACTTGTCGGCGCTGGGGAATGCTGCCAAAAACAGAAGTCTCCAAAGTAATTATAACAGAACCCACCCAAAAGTATCAGGAAAAAAAACGACCCGAGGACAGGGCTTCAAGAAGGACTCGGAATCTAATTGAACTGCTTTGCTTCCTGCAAAGCTCTTCGTCATTGAGGTCTGACTTTTATCCCTGATGGGAGGGGCAATCACCTCCCAGCCTTACTCCCGAGTTGCCCTTTCTGCTTCAGCTGCTCTCGCCTTGTAGCAGCTCTGCACGTACGTGCACTGGGAACAGGCTCCCCTTGTTCCTCTGCCTTGCTGCTGCCAGACTCCGGAGGCTCTGAAGGCAGCACCCCATTCCCAGATGGTCCTGGCCCCATCCCTGCATCGGATGCAGGACCCTCATCCGAGTCCTTCCCAGACTCCCGGACTGGTTCCCTTTCGTCCTCATTGTCCGATTCTGCTGCCGGCTGCACCGGCTGCCGGCGAGCCACAACACGAAACAAAAAAACTCCAGTTGCCTGTTGAAATAGAACCTTTGGGGCGACTTGAATTCAGAGCAGATTCTATTTTTTTTCGTCGCCTCCCTTCACCAGCGGATGATAAAAATATTCAGGGATCTCTTTTGAACCTCTCCTTTGTCATAAGAAAATTCCAATAAAGAAACAAAGGACAGCAGCACAAACAATAATTCTTACTTTAAGATGATTGATTCCAATAGAACAATAAGGCTATATTTTCGTTTCCCACACCTTCTTGGTTTATCCCTCTTGCCTCCAGAGAGCCAGGACGATTGTGGAGATCGAAAAACTCCTCCCCAAGTTCCTGAGGAGGAAATTTGAACTCGGGGAATGGTGCAAAGTGGCCGACAACGACACCCGGTTGTGTTTAAGGTGAGCGATGGGGCAGACGGGAGGGATTTTGCTCTGCGGGGACGAAGACGGGAAAATGGAATTGCAGATTAATTGATGAATGCTGAGGTACAGAAAGTGTTTCTGTAATAATGAGGATGGAATGTAAGGATGAATTACTTGTAGAAGAGAATAATTGTAGCTAAGAGTTGGACTGTAGGGTCCTTGGTGTTCTCTGAGCTTGGTGGTTTTCTTGCAGACGTTTCATGACCCAACTAGATAACATCATCAGTGCTAGTAGGGAGTAGGGTTTTTGGAAGAGGAGGAGGAGGAGGAGGAAGAGGAGGAGGAGAAGGAGAACTGTGGGGTCCTTGATGCTCTCTGAGTTTTGTTGTATTTTTGCAGATATTTCATTACCCAGCCAGGCAACATCATCAGAGCTAGAAGGGAGTGGGGTTTGCGCAGGAAGAACAGGAGGAGGAGGATTGTGGGTCCTTGGTGCTCTCTTGGTTGTTTACTTGCAGACATTTCATGACCAAACTAGGTAACATCATCAGTGCTAGAAAGGAGAGGGGAGGGGAGGAGGAGGAGGAGGACTGTGGGGTCCTTGGTGCACTCTGAACTTGGTGGTTTTCTCGCAGACGTTTCATGACCCAACCAGGTATCATCATCAGTGCTAGAAGGGAGTAGGGTTTGTGGAAGGGGAACAGGAGGAGGAGGAGGAGGAGGAGGAGGAGGAGGAGGAGGACTGTGGGGTCCTTGGTGCACTCTGAACTTGGTGGTTTTCTCGCAGACATTTCATGACCCAACTAGGTAACATCATCAGTGCTAGAAGGGAGTAGGGTTTGTGGAAGGGGA